TATGATTATATGGTCATTTTGAATCTATTAATTATCTTAGATTTAATGGCCTCCATTCACGACTCAAATAGTGCATAAGTGTGGACCGTCCGGTGTTAGCTAAGATTCTTTGTAAGCAAGTTAAGGAAACATATCTTATGTTATCCTTTTCCTATTTTAACTCACACGCACACCCATTAAAAAAACTAGGAAATAAAATAAAAGAAAAAAGAATAAATGAACATGGTAGGCTACTTTCCTGAGAAACTCTCTAAGACTTTTGACCTTTTTTTTTTCTTCTGAATTATGTAAGACATTGTTCTATTTTCTCCTAACATAAGCGGCTTTAGTAAGAGCTTACCAAGACTTACCGCGATTCATTATTCTCGATTCAAACTCTCTCTACATATATGGAAAAAAGATTTGTGGGGACGGATTTATACTCCTAGCTATGGGCACGTGAATTTATAATCTCCCGTCAAACTAGGTATTTATGTACGTATTTTTTAAAATTAGTCTAATATTATTTATTGGTACTCATGCTATCAAAACATTGAATAATGCACTTAGTTGAATGTTGGGTTATTTACTTGAGGAATATGGATAGACTCCCGCTTAATACTATTTTTTCTACGTTTTTTAGTGGTGTATAGGATAAAATATGCTATGACACGTGGCCATCCAAAAAAGGGACACGTGGAACCCAAGATGGAGGATGGCCAAAGACCGAAGGCAACTGTTTCGTTTGTCATCGGAAAGAATAATGCTCATAAAGATGTGAAAAATGTTCTTCGCATGTTAGCATTTAATAGAGAATATTCCATGGCATAAGAGCAATTACCCGTTACAGGGAATTTGGCATTTATGTTCACCGTTACATCTTCCTCAATGTCCCTCATAATTGACATTAAAGAAGGGCACGATCCTAGGACCTCATTCATAGCTATAAATAGTGAGTTCAATTATCATTGTAAATGACACAAATTTTCTCGCAAACTTACGCTACATTCTATACAAAGCTCAATACAATCTTATCTTCTTACTTTTTTATTTTCTTGTTGTTGTGCTCAGAAATCTTGTTCCTGGAACTGTTTCTTCTCATGTTTCGTCTATATCCTAAGGCTAAGTATTGTATAATTCTTTGATTATTTTATTATTTCAGGATCAAAGTAATTCATTTGTCTAGAAACCACGTATAAATTCAACTGTACCATTTTACAGTAAATAGTTTGGCGCCCGTCGTAAGGCCTAGACAACCGTGTAATTAAATTGATCCTTGACTTTTTTACTAACACGTTTTGATTATTTTGCCTTAGAAAAAATCATAAGAAATGGCAGATAACATTGTTAACGACATGCACAACCCCGAGATTCGAGAGGATCAGCCTTATTTCGAGGACTCATTCAGTGACACCCATAATTAGGGAAATGTCGCTACACCAGTGCATGGCAGGAAATATCCTCGACATGTTCTGGAGACCACTGATGATGCTGATGAGGAACATGTAGTTGATGCGGTAAGGGTCTTGCAAGAGCAACATGCGATCATTCTAGGCCACCTTACACGATAGGATAAGGTTATGACGGAGTTGAAGCATGCGTTATCGGGAGCTTCAAATAATGCAAACAAACGAGATTTGACTCCTCCCGGGATTTTCACGAATCAAACAACGCATAGGGTCGACAACAACACTCCCAATGGTGAAATTGGCTCTGATAAAGTAGGGGGGAATGGATCCGGCCTCAACAACGAGAATGATCCTTTCAAGAATGAACTTTTACGGTTTATGAGGGAAGTGAACGCCTGCATGGACCAGATCCCCGGCTCGCCACCAATGCTAAAAGGTTCGGACTCGAAAAAGTACACTCAATTGCCATACAAGCCAAGTGCGGCACCAGAGTTAATCCCGAAACGATTCAAAATGCCTAAAGTGCCAAAGTATGACGGAACTTCAGACCCCTAGGAGCATATTACCACCTACACAACAACGGTAAAGGGAAATGATTTAGCTCTTCACGAAATTAAATCTGTGTTGCTAAAAAAATTTGGAGAAACCCTCACGAAGGGAGCCTTGATGTGGTATTCGCTGTTACCCGAGCATTCCATAGACTCCTTTGAAATGCTCGTGGATTCTTTCATCAAGGCTCATGTCGGGGCTAGAAAAGTACAGCACCGAAAGGCCGCCGTATTTAGGATTGCGCTAGGTGAGTCCGAGCTGCTACGAGAATTTGTTACCCGATTACAGAAGGAGAGAATGTTGCTCCCGACTGTCCCGGATGAATGGGCGGATGTAGCATTCACAAAAGGGATTGAATCCGAGAAGTTGAGACGCTTCCCGAAAATTGAAAGAAAGCCTACTCGAGTTTCAAGCAACGACCTTGGAGGATGTCCACAATTGGTACGAATCAAAAATTAGGATCGAATATGACGAGGTTAATTTTTTATCATCGACCAAAGGACGAGAAAAGAACAAAGAAAAATTAAAGGATGATTATGACGCGGATAGACGGACTTCGAGGGGTCAGTTTTTCCCTATGAATGGACTGAAGGCCGCAACAGAGGTTTTCAGACAGCGGACATGTTCACCATTGACAGGAGAACTGATCGTTGTCGGAACAATCGATCACTACAGATAAAGAAGCGTCAGGGTCGCGGGATCCTTCTTACCCCAAGTTATTGGAATACAACTTCAACGTCAGTATAGTGGAGTTAGTATCGGCCATGAGAAACATTAAAGAAGCACGGTTCCCAAAATCGATGAGATATGATCCCAGCCAAAGGGATCCCAACTTGTGGTGTGATTACCACG